AGATGCGTGTATTTCAATTTCTCCCCGGTTTCCATCACCCTCCGCAAACACTGGCGGAATGAGATTTGTTTTCTCGTGGCTTAAAAAAAAATCTGGAGATTGCACATATCTGGCTGGTTGCCACAGATTTTATCCTGGCAGCCTGGAAGGAAGAGAAACGTTTGACCTTCAGGCTCTCAATCTGGACCAATTACAGCCGTTAGCTTTGCTTGTTTTTTTCCCCACGGACAGCTACAACTTCTGCAGCCTTGCTCACCCTTTATTTTTTGGCTCTTTCTGTGCCCTTGCCGTGCAGTGTGCAAGGGCCTGGATCCGGGTGACGATTGCTTAGAGTAAAGGACTGCCCCCTTCCTTCTTCTGCCCCAGATAATTAAGATTTGTTGAATAACTTATTTAAAATATTTTTACCCACCCTTTCTCCTTAAAGGACTCCTTAAAGATGTTTCAAAGGATCACAGGTGTGGGTGCATGGAGGGTAACCTGAATTCTGATACAAGAGTAAGGTGATGGCTTTATTGAACCACTGAAAAATCAAACCACTGGCAAAGCTTTCCTGGACAAGCAGAGTCAGCACGGACATCTGCCATTTATTTTGGGCACTGCGAGCTACATTTTTCCCCCTGCACTCTCCATTAAGGAGTGGAGCGCAACCAAAAAAAGTGGGATTTTAACCACGAAAGCTTGCAATTTATGGGATTTTTTTTGAATGGTGCAATAAAGATATAGCCCTTCTCTTGTCTAATCCTGAACCCCACGGCCGTTGCCTAATTCTGATTTCTGATGGGTCTTTAAGAAGGGAACCACAGCAGTTTGTTTTGCACCGGTTGCTGAGGAACAAGACAGAAAGGTTCATGGGGTGCGCCTTGCGTTGAGGATCTTGGAGATGATCCGAAAGGGGGTGAAAGGAGGAGGTATCCCTTCCGGATTGTATTTCTGCAGCCCATGATTGCAGCCAAGGAAACCTCTGCCCGATTTTTCTCCAAGAGCTAAGAAGAGGAAAGAGAAGAGTTCCAGGCCTCTTGACCCAAAATAAAATTATTCTGTTCTTCCTGGTAAGAAAAGGTTTGGAGACGAAGGATACTCTGTTGAGGGGAAATGACAACCCTGCTTCTTCCCTCCACACCATGGACTAGAAAGCTCACACAGCTAGCCTCTGGTTGCCCGTTCCACATGGGCTCCAGCAACCCCACAGCCTGAACCAATGCAAACTCATTCAATGTGGGAGAAAAAGGTAGAAGCCCTCGTGGCGGTGGGGAGAATAACAAATGGGGGGTGGGGTGGAACGCCAGGCTGATTTCCGTTGACTTGCATGTGGTGCAGTCATTCGCAAATGATACGAATCGGAATGTCCCAGTTTCAGAACATTTCCCGTATTGGTTGTTGTGGGTTTTTCGGGCTCTTTGGCCGTGTTCTGAAAGTTGTTCTTCCTGACGTTTCACCAGTCTCTGTGGCCGGCATCTTCATGCCAACAGAGCATGGAACGAGTTCCTACTCCAGTCCTCTGAAGATGCCGGCCACAGAGACTGGCGAAACGCCAGGAAGAACAACCTTCAGAACACGGCCAAAGAGCCCAAAAAAAACCCCACAACAACCATCAGATCCCGGCCGTGAAAGCCTTCGCGAATACATTTCCCTTATTCTTTGTCCCTGTGGTCGCTCCGGGGGCAACTTTTTCTAACCTTTCTGGATACGTTGGGCTACGTCTTCGATCCTACCCAGCCCGCGTGGCCTACGAAGCTGAAGGGAGGTGTCCTCCAGGGTGTGGCTTTCTTTTGTTGACCGTGTCACGAAACACGTCTTTGACAGCAACATTCCCATAGGCTTTACATTGATTTATATATTCATTTGTTTCTGGTCCTCTCAGAACCTCAATGGGCAGCTGGGATCCAATCATTATACATATGCAGCTGATTAACGAATAGCAGACAGTCCCCCCCTTTTTTTTTCTTACACAGGCATTTTCTTGAACCTTTTCCTGAGCTCTGTGTTCAATGTTGTTTTACAACATCCCAGACTTTCCTGATCCAAAACTTCAGAATCTCTCCTTAACTCTGTGCGGGGTGGGGGTGGGTGGGATTGCTCTGGCTGTCCGGGGTGGGTCACCTGTTCTTGTCTTGTGTCCCCCTGCGGACCTGACCGAAACCCCAATGGTAGGAGTGTGCTGAAAGGGAGGGAGAGAGGGGGGGGCGCCCCAGGATGGGGAGAAAACATCTGGAGCTGATGTGAGCTACATCTGGCAGATGGGGCCGCAGCCAGTCCAGGCTGGAGGGAACCCAGATTAAAGGAAGAGGAAGAAGAGGAGGAGGGCAGTTCAACAGAGTCAGAGGGAAAGGAAGGGGGGAAGTGGCAGAAGAGTCAGTCCCCATCTTTGGTGCCTTGGTGGAAGACCGCTCACTGATGGTGGAAGACCCTTGGACCAGGGAGTGGATCCAAATCCAGCTGGCGTATGGACGAAGGTGCAGGGGGAGGGGCCCTGCTCTTCCGCCCACTATTGATACCAGTTCCCTGGAGACTGGGGAGACTGGTCAGGCCCTTGGGCCCTACCCTGACCCGGCAAAGGTGCGGGAGGACACCTGCAACGGAGTCCAAGAAGGATGTGGGAGGTGCTGGTCAGTCCCCGACCATATAGGCCCTCCTTAAAGGCCATTAAGGAGGGGCGTGGTGGCGCTGTGGGCTAAACCGCAGAAGCCTGTGCTGCAGGGTCAGAAGACCAGCAGTCATAAGATCGAATCCACGCGATGGAGGGAGCTCCCGTCGCTTGTCCCAGCTCCCGCCCACCTAGCAGTTCGAAAGCATGCCAATGCAAGTAGATAAATAGGGACCACCTCGGTGGGAAGGTAACAGCGTTCTGTGTCTAAGTCACTCTGGCCATGTGACCACGGAAGATTGTCTTCAGACAAAACGCTGGCTCTATGGCTTGGAAACGGGGATGAGCACCGCCCCCTAGAGTCGGACACGACTGGACAAAAAATGTCAAGGGAAACCTTTACCTTTACCTTAAAGGCCATTAGCTGTCCGGGGTCAGTGTGGGAAACTAGACCCCAACCATGGACGGTGGACTGGGCCAGTCTAGTGAAAGAAACTCAGACTGGAGCAAGAACTGGGCTGGTTGTGGGCAGGATAGTGAAGGCTACCTCAGACCCTATGAATTGTTGGAATGGGGTGTGCCAAGGGCCACACAAGCTTTTCATTTCTCCTGTTCCCCTGCTCTAGAGAAGTCCCGGTCCATGAACTCTGGCCATCTTGCCTTCATGGAACCCATGGCCAAAGTGAGCCTCCCCACCGGCCATGCTCGGGGCAGGTGGAGGTGTGTCAGGGGTCACAGGCTCCATGTTCTGCCCTTCTCTCTTTCTTCTCTCTTTCCCCCTTTCCCCAGCCTCCTGCTGATTTACTGCCTTGACTAACCAACTTGTAATGGCCTCGTTTCTGCTTCACCCTTCCTTCACAAAACTGAAAAGGTTGCGGTAAGGTAAAAGTAAAGATTCCCCTTGACATTTAGTCCAGTTGTGTCCGACTCTAGGGCGTGGTGCTCATCCCCATTTCCAAGCCGTAGAGTCAGCGTTTTGTCCGAAGACCGTTTCTGTGGTCATGTGGCCAGTGTGACTAGACACGGAACGCCATGACCTTCCCACCGCGGTGGTATCTATTTATCTACTTGCATTTTTTTACAGGCTTTCAAATGGCTAGGTTGGCAGGAGCTAGGACAAGTGAAGGGAGCTCCCTCCGTCGTGTGGATTCGATCTTACGATGGCTGGTCTTCTGACCTTGCAGCACAGAGGCTTCTGCGATTTAACCCACAGCACCACCACATCCCTAAGGTTGCAGTAGGCTGAGCCAAAGAGAGAGCAAACACCAGAGCCATCCACCAAACATGATTTTTGCTCTAGGTGGAGTCCACATTTTGATGCTCACTTCTCACCAGCGAGTTTCTTTTTCTTCTTAAAAAATTGATTAACATTTTTAATTCAGATTGAATCGAATGATCCAGTCCGTCGTATCTGATCCTGGCCGCTGCCATGAGCCAGCTCTCTCCATGATTTCTGGTCTTGAACCACTTCTTTCAGTTCCTTTCTAGTTTGGCCACGGTCCGCTTCGATGACATCCAACCAACACATTCTTTGGTGTCCCCTTGAACATTCTGAGCCCAACGTCCTTCTCCAATGATGCTGATCGCATGACGTGGCAGAAATAACGAAGTCTACGTTTTGTTATTTTGCCTTCCAGGGACATGTCCCGTTTAATGTCCTTCAGCACTTCTTTATTCATGATAGTTGCAGTCCGTGGAATGCGCAAGAGCCTCTTCCCATACCATGGCTCAAAACATTTTTAATTAGTCTGTTTCATTATACTTGTTCTTTTGTTGGCCACCCTGAGTCCCATGTTTTGGAGAAACAGGTAGGGTTCATCAATCAAGATGACAAGTATATATAAATAGAATGAGTGACTAACGAACAAACAAATTAACTAGTTGGCCAGTGCAAAAGAAGATGGGGATTCACCTGGAAATCAAGGCTTTGCACAACCTTATTTCAGATATACATTCCCAACGGGGACCACTGATGTGTGTTTCTTCCAGAGGCGAGATGTCTCTGTATCTCATTAGTTTTTGCAATTCTTTATCTTAAACTCTGGCATCCCCTGGAGTTGCAATGTCAATGATCCAGACCTTTCTTCGTTCGATTACCACTAGGTCTGGTGTGTTATGTTCAAGGTCTCTGTCCATTTGGATCCGGATATCTCACAAGATCTTGACTTCCTCACTTTCTGACCCATTATCTACCTGAGGTTCCCACGGGTTTTTTGAGGCTGGCTACTTATATTTCTTGGATAAGGACCAATCCACTAATTTTGCCACTCGATCGTGTCTAGCTTTGCCACCTGTTTGTGCCATTTCTGGACATTTTCAGAAGAGGTGTGACACTATTATGATCACCATCCATTTCTCCCACTTGGAGGTGTGACACTGTTTATTATGATCACCATCCATTTCTCCCACTTAGGCAATCCTCAAGGGGCAGCAATGGCCTTCCATGACACTGATGCCATGCTACCAGCTGTGACCCCAGGAGACTTCACTACTCAGGCTCCCACAGGGCAAGCACAGACGATGGAGGAAGAAAAGGCCTCGGCAACCCAAATACTACCTGTTTCAAGCACCTCCGAGATGCTGAGAAAGTCAGAAAGCATGGCAACGACCGTATTACCTCTTTCCACCCTTTCGTCTATTGCTAAAACGGTGGATGCTGGAGGTTGGTTAATAATATTTCGCTTTACTTGTTTAGAGTTCAGAGTTCTGTGGTTGGGGACCAGCTCTACATGCAGAATAGATGGTCCTGGGTGAGATAAACCAGTGATCTGATTCAATCATAAACCTGGTTTATGTTTTCTAGCTTACAGGCAGCCTGTCTGGAATGCAATCATGTTAGTATTCTACAGATCCCATTTAAGTCAGTTTTGAGGTCGGAGACATCAGCTTTGCAAATGCAGCCTGGGTTTAGTTCCCAAAGACTAATGGTCTAACATAGAGATCTAATTTGCAAACTATGGCAGATGAGAAAACTTATCGTGATGATTACCAGATGCTTTCAGCAATTAAGGATTTTCCTCTTCTAATGATGGGTTGTCTGTAATGTATCATTCAGGCTCTCAGATATACAGTATCCAGGCATAGGTAAGCGGGAGACAAATGGGGATCTATAGCTACTTGGTGCTCTTAGTAGAGTAAGAACAGACACTGTTGATGAGTGGTTTCAGCTCTCTGAAATACCAAGATGGCTGGAGTGAACTCTTGGCTATGCAAATAAGAAAGTCAGGAGTTATTTTAATAAATACAAGTATGTATTTATCAACCTTAACAGATGCAAAGAAAAACTAAAAACAAAGTAGTTGTTACACAGCTGAACACTTTGTATATATATCTCTTTGAGCATTTTGGACCCAACATCATTGATAATGTTTAAAAATTTGTGACAATCCTGCCTACTTTCAAAAGCTCTTCCAGGAAACTGAGCCATGACCCCGCATAATGTTATGTCTTTGCATTCTTATTTTTAAAAATGCAATACAGAAATACCTATGCTATGATCTGAACCGTTTGAGTACCACCTGGGTACTCATGACTTGAGCGCCTGCTGTGCTGTGCATCCACTCTGAACTTTTAAGGAGTTATCCGAGGTGCTGAATCTGTTTCAAGGGATGATTGCTACTGTAAAGGGGCAAGCTAGAAAACTTGGAGTGGATTCACAGGAACCTCAAAACTGGAGTCACCATCAGCCTCTGCTTGTTGGGGAAACATCACAAACCTTCCTGGGAGGAAGGCTGTCCTCTATTTAGGCACTAACTGATGAACTAAACAAAGAAAAAAAATTGAATCTTAATCTTATTGGAAAATGGTGTCCGTCAGACAGAGGCAGCAAATCCTGTCTACCGCTCTCCGAGATCCCTTGCTTTATCAGAGATAATTACGAGCCGTTACACCTACCGTGTTTTCCCGAAAATAAGACAGGGCCTTATTTTTACTCCAAAAAAATATTAGTTTTTTTTCAGGGGATGTTTTATTTATTTTTCAAGGTACAGCCATCTACATTTATTCAAACACAGTCCTGTCATCTTCTTCTAGTTGCTGCACAAGGGTGGAGGGTTGGGTTTCACTTCACTAGGGCTTATTTTTGGGGTAGGGTATTACGAGCATCCTGAAAAATCCTACTAGGACTTATGTTCAGGTTAGGTATTATTTTCGGGGAAACACTGTACGTTATTATCTTGGACTAAAGCTGAACTATGACATCTTTTGACCAGAAGTTCTTTCACTCCCAAGAGGAGATGTAGATGAGTCGCCCCGTTTTGAGCAAACACAGAACATGCCACAGCTTTGCTATGGAATCATAGCAACAGTACCCTGGTTATTCTTCTGGTTATATAACTCTTTTGGAAAAGTCAGTGATCAGGGGCACCTGATTGCATTGCTGAGGACTAGAAACTTGGACCCTGTCCTGGGTCTCCCAGATGAGGGGGTCAGGTGGTGCCTCTGGCTGATGGGCTGTCAAGCACATGCCAGTTTCCTGTGCTCTTTCTGCCTTCTAGATACGGCTCCCGTCCCGGGAAAGGATGAAGTCACTTCTGTGGCTGACTCAGCTACAACTCTAGCTAAAGTAGGAGCGCAAACAGAAGATGTTCTTGACCGAACAGAAGCCATGACTGCTCTGCCTTCCTTGGCGCCTTCCACAAGGAAACCCACTGTGGCTGCTGCGCACCGGATTACGACTGCTGCAACCTATGAACTGGGCAGACTGGAATGGGAAGGTACTTGCGTAATGTGATCTACATTTAATCATTTATCTGTTCAGTTTAGCCTTTCTTCCCCCCCTCCTGGGACCCAAGGAAGCACACATCAGCAAAAACATGGCAAACTTTGGTTGTTGTGAGTTTTTCGGGCTCTTGGGCCGTGTTCTGACGGTTGTTCTTCCTAACATTTGGCCAGTCTCTGCGGCCAGCATCTTCAGAGGACAGGAGTCAGAACTCTGTCTGTGTTCTGGTGTAGTGTGTGGGATAGTTGAGTATTTGTAGCTGTGGGATCAGCTTTTGTCCTTTTCAGGAGATTGGGTGATTATGGTGATCAGTGTGTTTTTGTTGTGGGTGTATTGTTGTGATAGGGGGGAGAGATGGTCTGTCACTGTGATTGATGGGTGTCATTAGCATGGCAAACTTTATTAAAACACAATTGAACGGAAAAGCAATTGGAAGCACAACAGCATTTGTCTCATTTATACGCCACCGTTCTCCCAATAAAGGGACTCAAAGCACAGCACCCATTGTTAAAAGCTGTTTCCTGAAGAGCTGGTCATTTGCTGAGTCCACCTGACTACCCTTCGCCTGCTAACAAGAAGACCGTAGTGGGGAAGGGAACCAGCGTAACATCCAGTAGGAAGGCGTTCCACAGGCATAGATGCTAGTGAGGTGACCAGAGCAAGACATGGACTTCCCCTGATGATCTCAAAGCTTGGGTCAACTTGTATGGGAAAAAATATAGCTCTTTAGATTATCTGAACCCAAGTCAAAAGCTGGGTTTCTGAACATGTGTTAATTTCCCACTATAACCACAACACATTAGGGGATGTATGAGAATTTGAGCTGTTTGTAACGGAAGAAGCCAGGCCAAAGATTGCCCTATAATTATGTTACGTTGTTCATTGATTGTTCCCTCTGCTGATTTTTCCCTTCCCAAAAACCACATCTCCCATTTCTGGAACTCTTTAGGCATTATAGTTTTGCAACAAAATTGAATACAGGAGGAAACTCCCCCCCCAGGATCAATATCTGTTGATTCATTCATCCATCTGTTTGAAAATACAGTGGTGCCTCGCTATACAGTTACCCCGGATGACAGTTTTTTCGCTAGACATTGACTTTTTGCGATCGCTATAGCGATTCGCAAAACAGTGGTTCCTATGGGGGAATTTTGCTGGACAATGTTTGGTCCCTGCTTCGCAAACCAATTTTCACTAGACAACGATTTTGACAGCTCCCTCCGCGCTCGCAAACAGGTGTTTTGGGGACCTAAGCTTCGCAAGACAGTGGTTTAAACAGCTGATTGGCAGTTCGCAAAGCGGCTTTCCTATGGCTGATGTTTGCTAGACAACGACGATTCTTCCCCATTGGAACACATTAAACAGTTTTCAATGCATTCCAATGGGGAAATGCTTTTCGCTAGACAATGATTTCACTAAACAGCGATTTCAGTGGAACTGATTATCATTGTCTAGCGAGGCACCACTGTACTATTTTTTAAAAAGCATTTATCAGAACTGGCCACTAGAGGGAGACAGAGACCATGTAATGTATTATATTCAAGATTTCCACATTTTTCGGCATCCACCAGGGGAGGCTTGGAACGGATCCATATAGTCCCTCAATTATCCAAAAAAAGTCCCCCCCCAAAAAAAGCTAGAAGGAGACTTTCTGCATTTTTAAATTGTATATAGTGGGGAAATGAGTCAGCAGGAGATCTTTTTGAGTCTTTCAGATAAGGAAATCACAAAAACTACTGAAAACTGGTTGTCTAAGAGCATGTCACTGAAATAAGAACAGTCTGGTTTTTTCCCTGTAAACAAGCTGTACAGACAACTGACTACAAAAAAAAATTACACTGTGTATGGCTTTGGAATACTGGGGTTTTGCTCTTTTTCTGTTCCCCTACGGCACCCACTCCCACAAGTTTCTAATTTTTTCTTATAAAAATTGTGGGTTTTTTGCATTGAAAATGCTCTTTTGCACCCGCTAGTGGCCAATTTATTTTTTAAAAAAATTAAAAACTTTTTTTTGGAGGCATGAAGAGTTCTGGCAGAATTGTTTAATACATCCAAGATGACACAAGGGGATATTGTGAGCCATTCCTTCCCCCCACGTTTTAAACATTTTGGGGTGTTTGTGGTGGCAAGGGCCGAGAGGTCTTAGTGGAGTGTGTTTTGACTGTGGGAGGATGCGTATGGCCTCCATGTTTTCTATGCTTGGTATAGACAGAACTGTAGCTCAGTGGTTTAGATCCCTTTTTGTCAACAAACTCTACCCAGCCACAAGGACCAGGGATAACTGCATGCAACAGACCAGCTAATGACACCCAGCAATCACAGTGAAAGATCATCTCCCCCCCTTATCACCGTTATACACCCACAACAAAAAACATCTGTGGCATTCACCCTCATGCCCCTTGCTTTTATACACCCACAACAAAAAAACACCTGTGGTGTTCACCCTCATGCCTCTTGCTTGACCATCAAGCCTCAGAGCACACGAAGGCAAACAATCCCCTCTTTTACACTGCTGCCACCAGGTGATCACTAAATCACCATTGCTTCAGGAAGATTCAGGTCCACACTTCAAGGTCTTTTAAATATAACTTTTGTTTATTAATTACAGTTATTGATAGTGATTCATGGATATCTTCTGCACACAATTGATTCATTGTTAGGTGGTGGTCTACCAGGACCCCTAAATCCCTCTCCCAGGTACTCCTGTGCCAGGTACCCCCTATCCTGTACCTGTGCCTCTATCTGGCTTCTCCTGCCTAAGGGCAGGACCTTGCTTTTCCCGCCACTGAACTGCATCTTATTGGATCGGCCCCAAGGTTCAAGTCTGTCTAGATCCTTCTGAATGTTGAGTCTTATCTTCCAAAGGAGTAGCCATTCCCCCCAGCTTGGTGTCATCAGCAAATCTGATGAGTGGTCCTTCAATCCCCTCATCCAGGTCATTGATGAAGATGTTGAAGAGCACTGGGCCCAAGACCGAACCTTGAGGGACCCCACGGCATGCTTCCCTCCACGCAGATGTGGTTCCATTGAGGACCACATGTTGAGTGGGGTTGGTCAGCCAGCTGCAAACCCATCCAGTAGTTGCGTTGTCTATCCCACTTTGTTCTATCTTACAAAGAAGTAGGTTGTGGTCTACCTTATCCAATGCCTTACTGAAGTCTAAGTGGACTGTTCGAGAGCCTACTTAATTTACCTGCTAGTTCCTCCCAGCTGGAAATGCATCCTGACTTACTGTCTGATCTTCACAGGAGCTTCGCAGGTGAGGCTGGATGGCAGCCGCATCAGGAACATACTTCTCAGGATGCTCTTGGGCTTTCAAGGGGATGATATTCCTCAAACCTTTTGAGAATTGTTTGAAGCTGGATTACCTGAGTCAGCGAGAACTGAAGGAGCTGTTTATAGCTTCTGGAAAAGATCAAAGCGTCCAAATACAAGGAAGCTGTTTAAGATGTTCATTGCATTGGCTCTCATGCAGTGGAGTAATATATACTGTATGTTATTTGTTGCTGTTTAATCATTTAGTCGTGTCCGACTCTTCGTGACCCCATGGACCAGAGCACGCCAGGCCCTCCTGTCTTCCACTGCCTCCCAGAGTTGGGTCAAAGTCATGTTAGTCGCTTCGATGACCCTGTCCAGCCATCTCGTCCTCCGTCCTCCCCTTCTCCTCTTGCCTTCCCACTTTCCCAACATCAGGGTCTTTTCCAGGGAGTCTTCTCTCCTCATGAGATGGCCAAAGTCTTGGAGCCTCAGCTTCAGGATCTGTCCTTCCAGTGAGCCCTGGATATATATATTATACCCTTTTCCAAATAATGTTCACATGTGTACTTGTGCTGGATTCTGGAGTGATGGTTCTCACTTGCATCAGTCAGTAGAATGTCACGGTTTTCCAGATATCAGCATCAGGTGAACAGAGAAATCCAGGAGGACGTTGTAAGAAGAACTCTAGAAATTTGTTTTTAATGAGCATCTCTTATGATTCCAGCTGTTCACAAACAGGGTGCGCAAATCTCACTTGTGAACTTTGATGCAGAACCTGGGAAGGTTGGTTTTTTTTGGACTCCAACTTTAATAATTTCCCCAGCAAGCGTTGGGAGTTATAGTTCTTTTGAAAAGCAGCTTTTCTAAGCTCTGCTCTGATGAGACCAACCAATGAGACATTTCAAATTATGAAGGTTTATTTTATTTAGAATGCTGATATGCCACCTTTCTCTTCATGTGGGAACTTAGGGGGCTCATAACAGACAAGACTTAGTAGGCACCCATCAGTCTTGATGAACTATGGTAACGTGCTCTGTATGGAGGAATCAGAACAGCATCTAGTGTGGCTGAGAAGGCCAATTTGAGAGTGACCATCCCTTCCATAGGGAAGACAAATCCAATCTGTCCCTTGTCCAGCTCCCTGATTTTGCTGGTTTCGGGACGGCCTCTTTGCCTCGGCCTGCTGGACAAGGGTCTCTTCAAATTGGGAGAGGCCGTGATGCACTGGCTGCCTCCAGGCTGAACGCTCAGAGGTCCAGGTTTCCCATCTGTTGAGGTCCATTCCTAAGGCCTTCAGATCCTGCTTGCAGATAACAGATAAAACAACACATTAAAAACACTTTATAAATATCGTATTTAAAAGCAATTAAACATATATTAAGATTTTAAAAATCAAGTTTAAAAACAGTTCAAAAACGTTTTAAAAGCTGTTAAGTTCAAAACGAGCATTCCTGAGACCCCTTATTGCTTCAAAGCCTGCCTGAAGAGGATGATCTTTGCTTGACATTGGAAAGACAAGAGGGAAGGGGGCCAAGCTGGCTTTTGGGGGCAGTGCATTCCAAAGCCTGGGGGCCACCAGTGAGAAGGCCTTGTCTTGTAATCTCACCAATTGAGCTAGGAAACATGGTTTTCCCCGAGAGAAGGGCTTCCCTAGATCTTCAAAGCCGAGGAGGGTGAGAAGGCCTTGTCTTATAACCTCACCTGTTGAGCTCGGAAAGGTGGTGGAACCGAGAGAAGAGCTTCCCTAGATCTTCAAAGCCGAGGAGGCTCATATGGGGTGATATGCTCCTTCCAACATACAATGTATTCTTTGTTTCCTTTCCTGCTCATCTAGAGGAAGAGGAGGAAGAGGAAGAAGAGGAGGAGGAAGAGGAGCCCGACGAGGATGAGGAGGAAGAGGAAGATGACGAGAATGACGATGACAGGGACCCAAACTCCATGGATGAAAGCTTGGATGGGGAGGGTGACTTAGTCGGCTTCACTGTTCCCGGGGAGACCTCACAGGATCCTCTGGGAGAACTCGAAGACGCTGCAGGCCCACTTTCGGAGGTATCGTACCAGGTGCCGAGCGCCATCGAGTGGGAGCAACAGAACCAAGGGCTCGGTAAGGAAAACGTGTTCTTTGGGGGCATGGGTTATTTCCTCCCTCCACCTCTGGCAACGAACCTTGAAAGCTCATAGGGGAAGATTTCGTTCTCACCAATCTAAGAAAAAAATACAAGCACACAGAGAGAGAAACATACACATTAATGGGATCAAATGATAGGAAGCCAGATTTAGGCTGACAATTAAGGAAAACTTCTTAACTGTTAGAGCAGTACGACAATGGAACCAGTGACCTCGGGAGTGGGGGAGTGCTACTGGAGGCATTCAACGGAAATTTGAACAACCGTCTGTCAGATCTGCTTTGTTCTGGATTCCCGCATTGGGGTGTGTGTGTGGGGGTGTTGTTCCCTATGGCTTTATATGTCCCTTCCCACTCCATTATTCTGTTTCTGTTTGGAGAGGGGGTCTGGGCTGGAGCGGTTCTCTGGAAAATGGAAGGGTGGCTCCCTAGCGACCATTTCTGGCGTGACCAGAGGTGCCCCTTCGAAGCCTTGTGATTGCATTCTAACTTTCAAAAGCTCTAGTGAAAAACCACGTTTCACACAAGCTTGGTTTGTTGCTCATCCAAACACCGTTCCGGTTGGAGGAACTGGTACGTGATATATCATGGTGTTGTTCTGGGCCGTGTGTGGTCTGTTTGAGGTTGTAGCTGTGGTGGGATTTGGGGCATGGCAGAGAGCCTGCGTGCCTGGTCCCAAAGTCCCTTCTCCGTTCTTTTCAGCTCAGGCCAGTGAGATTTGTAGCAATACACACAGCGAAAGGTTGCACAATTAAACGCAGGCTTACCATCCCTCAGAAGAGCTTAAGAGAAGTGACAGGCACCACGTTTGAAAGGAGGCAGAACTGACCTTTGTAATCCATTCTCAAAGCCTAGAAGAGACCTGACATGTAAACACCAGTGGCTTCCCCCCTCCCCTTCGGTGTTCAAAACCAAATAATCGTATGTGACTGGGGGAGGCCCCTCAAAATCCTTCTCCCTTCGATTTTTATACTGTGGTTGTCATTTTCTTTTTTTTGCACGGAGTCCTGGTTAGAAGGTTAGGAAATGGATGCTGCTCCCCTGTTCTCCACGGCTGTTCTTCTCCTTAAACTTGCAGACTCTCCAAATTGCTTTTGTTTTCTCTGTTTTCCAACGAGACCCGGAAGGTACGTCCGCTTGAGTCTTTGGTGGGTGCTCTGCATCTCCCTGTCCACTTCCCGATGTGAGTGCCCATCAAGAATCCGGGTGAACCAAGGATCCCGGCTTTGAGGATAAGCTGATATTCCTCGAAGGGTGGCGGAAGGACCAGGCGGGCAGGCGACGAGGGCGGTGCAAAGTGGCAAACAGGCATCCGTTGTGTCGAAGCAAAACGAAGCACTAAGGGGAAAAAATTGTGGCGCTTCCTTTTGCTTCGGTGAAACAGGATCCCGAAATAGGTTGTGAACCAGACTGCGAACCAGACCGATTGGTTGGTTTTTCCTGGTTCGTAGTTCAGTTCGTGCTCATCTCTACTAGTCCTATAACTAGCCCAGGGTAAGGCGAGAACTGTGGGGCATTCAGGTCACTGGTGGCCCTAAAGCCCTTTCTCAGCATCCATCGATTGTCAGCAGTGTCTCCAGGTGGCACGTTTCTCTGTTAGAACAAGACCCACAGACCTAGTTTTATTTTAGAAACCTCCTTGTTTGGGAAGAAAAGAAAAGAAAAAGATGGGAACAGGTTTTCGAAACCTGTAAGTGGCCTTCCCGTCACTTCTGGTTTTGCCAGAAGCAATTGGTGCGTCTGCGGCAGATCCTAGGGATGTGGGGAAACGGCCTCTCGGGTTTGCCAGAAGGACTCTACCGTGCATCGCTAAGAGGCAGCATGTGGCAACTCTAAACAAAATGTCCAAAAAAACCCAAGGAAGGTAGTCCTCATGAGAAAAGTTGAACCTTTCTAGATGGTGGCAGCTCAGCTTGACTTCCAGCAGCCAGAAAGTGGGGCCTTTGGGCTACTCTAGAAGTACTCCCGTGGAAAGCTGAGAATACAGATTTTTAGAATAATGTTGTGAGTATATGCAGCAGCCACGACATTGAAAGACGCCTGCTTCTTGGGAGGAAAGCGATGACAAACCTAGGCAGCAACTTAAAAAGCAGAGACATCATCTTGCCGACAAAAGTCCGCATAGTCAAAGCTATGGTTTTTCCAGTAGCGATGTATGGAAGTGAGAGCTGGACCCTAAAGAAGGCGGACTGTCGAAGAATTGATGCTTTTGAATTGTGGTGCTGGAGGAGACCCTTGAGAGTCCCCTGGACTGCAGGGAGAACAAACCTATCCATTCTAAAGGAAATCAACCCTGAGTGCTCACTGGAAGGACAGATCCTGAAGCTGAGGCTCGCAATACTTTGGCCATCTCATGAGAAGAGAAGACTCCCTGGAAAAGATCCTGATGTTGGGAAAGAGTGAAGGCAAGAGGAGAAAGGAGACGACAGAGGATGAGATGGTTGGACAGTGTCACCGAAGCGACCAACATGAATTTGACCCAACTCCGGGAGGCAGTGGAAGACAGGAGGGCCTGGCCTGCTCTGGTCCATGGGGTCACGAAGAGTCTGACACCACTTAATGACGAAACAACAACAACAAAAGCTTGAAGGCACTGGAGTTCTTTCCCCCTTCAGCTGGCACAAGGTTTGCTGCTACTTCTCGGAGAAGACCAGAAGAATCGTAAGGACAGCATGCATTATATAAATTTACATGAAGAAGCCGGATCCCATCAAGCATTTCATCATCACGGCACTTTTTCTACACGTCTTTGACTTTGTATTTTCTGTTTTGGGGGGAGGGAAGAGAGATTTGACAGAAGAAAGAGAAAAAGAAAGAAAATAAGACGAGCCTTCCGGAGGACAAAGCAAATCAAAGCTTTCACTTAGTAAACAGATAAATCACATTTTCCACCCTGGGATCCAGAGAGAGGGGCCATCCATTAGAAATACAGATAGCTATAGTGTTTTTTTTTTTCCTGAGAAGACATAATTGCTCCAAGCAGTTGTTTGTTTCCAAAACTTTAAAAGTGGCGATAATCCGTAAAGGAGGATCAATCGGGAAGATATGATTTTCCAGCTTTGGTTCTCGACAAATAGAAATCAAAATACTTGCTGAACTGAGAAGTGGAAATCAAGAGCGCGAAAGGAACTTTTTCCCCGTTGACCCTTTAAAAGCAATCAAGGCTGTCAACACTCATTTGGTGAAATGGTTTATTGATCCACAGTGACCCTAACAATGATTTCTCTCTCTCTCTCCCCCCCTTTGTTTCTGCTCTTAATCCTTCCAGTTCTCTGTTAGTATGTAGATCAGGACGGGCCATGCCAGCGGGTTTGGGGCCACGAACTCCCCCATCTGCCAACACACCACAAAAGTCACTCCTTCTTGCCCCACAGCCAGAATTTGGAGGCAAATTATGGTATTAAAAAGAAAAAAAAACCAAAATAAGGCTAATCACATTTAATTAGGCAGGAACTTTTGTGGACTGTAGCCCAGTTCATTCACCACTGAGCCTCGTGGCACAGTAGTTAAACTGCAGTACTGCAGTCAATACTCTGCTCTAAATTTGATCAAGACTGGCTCAGGTAGTCAGTTCAGGATTGATTCAACCTTCCATCTTTCTGAAATTGGTAAATTGAGTACCCAGCTCACAGCGGTGTGTGTGTGTTAATGTGTAGCCTGCATAATTAAACTGTAAACCACCCAAACAGTGCTTTAAGAGCTACGGGGAGGTGTACATGTAACAGGCTTTGCTTTTTTCCCCTTGGCTTTTGATATGCAGATTGCTGTTTTTAGGTACAGTGGTACCTCGACTTATGAACTTAATCCGTATTGGAATGGCATTCGTATGGCAAAATGATCGTAAGTCGAGGCAAAATTTCCCATAGGAGTTCGTATGGCAAAATGTTCGTAAGTCGAGGCAAAAATTCCCATAGGAATGCATTGAAAACCATTTAATCCATTCTGGCTGTTTTTCATTCTTATGTTGAGGCGCTGTACTAATGCAAGGCCAGTTAATCCGTCCTCTACCACTAGGGGCAATTTTTTTTTCATTTTCTTCTTCTTTTGACCTAAGATGAACTTAGGTAAAAAAAAAAAGCAAAATGTTCGTAAGTCGAGGCAAAAATTCCCATAGGAATGCATTGAAAACCATTTAATCCATTCTGGCTGTTTTTCATTCTTATGTTGAGGCGCTGTACTAATGCAAGGCCAGTTAATCCGTCCTCTACCACTAGGGGCAATTTTTTTTTCATTTTCTTCTTCTTTTGACCTAAGATGAACTTAGGTAAAAAAAAAAAGAAAAAAGAAAAAAAAAGAGGTGGAGGCAGGAAAGTTTTTTTCTGTTCGCAAGTCGAAGCAAAATTTTGCAAAAGGAAAAAGGAAAAAAAAAAGGGGGGGTTTCTGCTTGCAAGTCGAAGCAAAATTTTCCAAACAGAGCCATTTGTAACTCAAAATGTTCGTAAGTAGAGACATTCGTAAGTCGAGCTACCACTGTATTAGCACATTATTTCTTCCTCAGAAGTTATTTCCCTTTGTCAGAGGGAAGAACCAAACTACACGGGATCTCTGTAAGGGCTGCTAGCATACCCCCTGCACAGAGAAATCTCTGAGGCTTCTGCAGTAAGTAAGTGGGCAACTACACAGCAAAGGAAATGTGCATTAACTCGCATTTTCTCGCTGTGAACTTGCACTGGGAGACTATATTCTCTTTGATTTAACGTGGCCCACACAGGCAGAGGAGTAAAACCCTTCTAACTGGAGTTATACTGAAGTGCCTGTAAGTGGTGAAAGAAAAAAAAATCCAGAAAAATGTATTTTCAACGTGTATTACCAGAAATAGCCACTAGAGGAAGCCAGGGACCATGCTACAGTGGGGTCTTGACTTAAGAACAGCTTGAGTTAAGAACATTTTGACTTAAGAACCGCTCTCATAGGAAAATATTGACTTGACTTAAGTACTTAGATTTGAGTTAAGAACTGAAAAAAACCCACGTGGGAGG